TACCCTAAAGGATATGATTTTTAAACAAAAAGGGAGAGATTACAAGTATAAACCTACTCCTAGAATTATTATATTACAAGCTGTATTTACTCCTTTTTTTTTTTTTTTTTTTTTGTCTTTTTGAGACAGGGTTTCCCTGTAGCCCCAGGTGACTTGAAGCTCACTATGTAGACCAGGCTGGTCTTGAACTCAAAGAGACCTGCCTGCCTCTCCCTCCCGAGTGCTGGGACTAAAGGCGTGTACCACCATGCCCAGCTACTTTAATTTTTTTTTTTTAATGAATCTGCAGCAGAATGGCCTTGGACAAAATCTAAACCTGTAGAAATATTGCAACCTATGTATAATGATGGAAACTGGCAACCCGGCCTCATGAGAAATTTGCTCATATTGTTACAGATAAAGGCGATGTCGTTTGACTCCCGTCCAGACTGGTGAAACCAGTCAGACGTGAGCAAAAGGAAGAGATTCGATCCTAAACCACCTGTCGTGCTCTAGTATTGGAAGACTGCAGATACGAGTCCCTCTATCGTCTACTAAGAAAGCAGCACCTGCCACTCGGGGCCAATTAAGAAGAACGATGGAGAAGCAGAAAAAAATCATATGAGATTCACATCAACCGAAAACGGCCATTAATTTGTTTCTTGCTACACTTGCTGTAGCATCTATGGGTGTAAGTGCTGCCACTTCAAATTCTTCTTACATACCTAATCCACCTATTAATAAGGCTTTGCATAGGTTATCTGATCCCATACCTTTGCACATCAATGATTCTAGATGGATACCGAGGACCATATGATAACCAGGGTCCTTTAGTTCCTGGGGAAGAGGGAGAAATCATAAGAAACTATACAGTAGGAGTAGAAGATCCACCTATATGGTGGACATGAGTCACACTGTCTTAATCCTGGGGCACAAGCCTAGCTTTCTATATTAAAAATGCATCAACACAAGTGACTTGTAAAAATGTTTCTGCTGTAAGCAAAAGGGATTAAATATGGTAATGATACTGATGATGTGCCCCCTGATTTGCCCCATTGTTCACTCCCAGTCACCATGGAGATTGGGGAATGGGTACAATGAAGTAAACGTAGAGGTGAAAGGGATGAGATTTACTTAATACTTCCTATGGAAGCGTCATCAAGTGGAGCCCCAAGGGTTCTGTTCGTACCAAGACCCAGGGAAGAGACTTGAGATGGCATGAAAAATATAATCATGCAACTACATATGCTTCCCATGATGATATTGTTTGGCATGATGGTGGTGTGTCTCCTCTGTACCCCCATTTACCATAGGTTCTCAACAAACACATTTGTGGAAAATAGCTACAGCCTTAGATGGACTCACTATCTGGGTGGAAAAATATTCGAAAACATTACCAAAAGTGATAATTAGAGTTTAGGAAGAATGAAGCACAATATGTTACTACTTGTTTAAGGCACAGTTTTTGTTTATGATTGGCCCTACCACATGGAATTCTTCTAATTATATTGTAGAGTGTTATAATTGGACTCTTTTGCCTTAACCATTCCATTTCAGTTATTCTCACAAGAAAGCATTTGCATACCTAAGGCTCATACCGGACTTTGGTTACTTGTACGTTTGAATCAAGAATGGCAAGATACTACCATGACTATGTACCTCCATCAGTTGATCACCAAATTGGTGACAAGATCTAAAAGAATGATTGGGTTAATCATTGATATTACAATGGGAATCGTCGCCATCACTGCCACAGTGGAAATAGCTGGGATTGCTTTACATGCATCCATTCAAACAGAATTTGTGTCCAACTGGCATAAGAACTCTGAACAACTATGGACCACTCGGAGATGGATTGATAGTGAAATTAATGCTGAAATTGCCGATCTACAACAGTAGTGATGCTAGGGGATCAAATAGTTTACAAAAACAATTTATGATGTGATTGGAATTGTTAAGCGGATATTGTGTGTGCTAGATAGCTTTAGTATCAACTTGACACACCTGGGTTGAGGGAGCCTCAACTGGGGAATTGCCTCCATTGGACTGGCCTGTGGCCATGTCTGTGGGGCATCTTCTTAATTGTTGAGTGATGTGGGAGGGCCCAGCCCACTGTGGGTGGTGCCACCCCTGGGCAGGTGGGCCTGTGTTGCTTAAGAAAGCAGGCTGAGCAGGGGCCAGAGGAGCAAGCCAGTAAGCAGCGTTCCTCCATGGCCTGAGTTCCAGCTCCTGCCTCCAGGTTCCTGCCCTGAGTTCCTACCTTAGGCTCACTGATAAAGTGTGACCCAGGAGATGTAAGCTGAATAAACCCTTTCCTCCCCAAGTTCGTATTACAGTATTTTGTCATAGCAATGGAGAAACAAACTAGAACACTGTGTCACTCCTAGTCCTTATAATCAAACATATTTTCTGTGGATAATTTTAGAAAACATTTGTTAAATCATGGAAATATGACTGAAGAAACAATGAAATTACAACAACATATTTCTGATACATTTAAGGATCAATTAGGAACCATTCAGGGAAAGGAACTATTTATTACAAGGCATTACAGATGGATAACAATCCTTAAACCCTTTAAATCAATTTAAATAGTCTGGACGTTTCTCTTTGGGGTTATTTTAAGTATACTCTGTATTCTTTGTTTCTTTTACTTAAGGACATCAAGACAACAACAACAGCTGAGAGACAAAGCGGCTGTGTTTTCTGTTTTATATCATAATCAGTCTGTTAAAGAGGGGAAAATGTAGCAACCTGCTTCATGATGAGTTAATATGTCTTGTGACTTCATGGCTTATGGCATACTTCCAGAGTTAATATTCAGTGAATGGACAAAAAGACTATGTGGTCACTGCAAGCAGTGACCCCAGAAGGCAAACCTCTAGGGAAAAACATGTATTCTTAAATTCTTGAATATACTCTGGTTGGGCTACATCTATACATTGTATTCCTTAACTTATTACTGTATGTCTTATGTGTTCTTGGCACAATAGGTCCTGTGAACTCCATTCATTATTTTAGTACCAAATGAAAGATCAGGACTGAGAAGGATCTGCATCTTCGGATCATGAGTCTCAGATCCTCCGCTTAAAGTTTTGTCTGTGTCTTTGAGTCTCCATCCACTCAACTGCTACAGGAGTAACTAACCACTTTCTGATTGAATTTAAGGTATGCTTCATAAGATGAGTCCATATATGACACTGATATCAGGCCTTGGAACCTGTGGGTAGACAGGTCACAGGCCATAGGGGAGAGCCTGCTACTGTTACTCTGCTAGATAGACTGAGTAATAAACTGATTCCTAATGACTTATTATTATACACATGAATTAATCCATCTCTCAACTCTCACTAGAGAAGACCCACACTGGTCAATGTGCGAGAATAAGAGACTAGAGTGCTTATCCTGAATAGGACATCCATATCAAATGTTTGCCATCCAAGACCCAGGGCTCATTGTGGAAGAGTAGGTGGAAAGATTGTCAGAGCCAAAGATAGTGAATGACCACAAGGAAACAGTTTTCCAGACAGCTAGGCAGTTACTAATATGAATTCAGAGCATGCACAAGACCCACATAAGCTCGAGCCAGACAGAATCCCAGCATAGAAGCACGAAAGTGGATAACAAGCCCCAACCTCAGCTGGGGAACTATTGGCAACTAATAGCTGCTGGGAGAGGAGGAGTCGGTTTTATTTAAGGGTGTGAATCCAAGTAGGCTAACCAAGGTCCAGGGGATGGATCCACACCAAAGGATACTTGGAGACACAAAATTTGACTCAATAGGCCTTAATAATATATACCAGAATACATTAAATCTGGAAGGAGATATTAAGGGGGAATACAGATAGGGGAGAGAGATCTATATATGATCAAAATATATTCTATGGAATTTGCAAAAATTTAAAAGATGCATCTACTGGAGCGTCATGGAATAAGAGGTGGAAAGTTCTAAGACTCAGAGGATAAATACAAGGAAGCAGTGTTTTCCAGACACTGGGGGAAGTTGCACTTATGAATATGCACTGATCGAGACAGCCTGCGCAAGACCTATGCAAGTCCAAGGCAAACAAAATCCCCACATGCATGGGGATTTTCTTTAAGGATGTGATGCCAGTTAGGTTGACCAACCTTCGGGGGATGAGCCCACACCCCAGAGTATTTGGAGAATACAAATTGGACTCAATGAGACTTTTAAAAATAGAGGACATGAATTGAGGATAGGGAGGTAGGGTAACTCTTAGAGGAAATGGGAAAGGGGGTCTGAATATGAGCAAAATAAATTATATTAAATTCTCAAAGACTCAATAACAATATTATTTTAAAAATTCAGACAGTGACAGAAACCAGTTGGGAGTTGATCATGTATTTGCACAGACTATTAAGAATAAATTTAAGCCAGGTGTGATAACATATGCCTTTAGTTCCAGTACTCAGGAGGCAGAGGCAGGCAGATCTCTGTAAGATTGAGGTCAGCTTGGTCTACATAGTAAGTCCCAGGCCAGCTGGAGCCTTGTCTCAAAACAACCAAAAAATTCTCTTTTCTCACTAAAAATGGATATTGTGTCACCTTCTCTTTAAACTCCATCCTGAAACACCCCAGTGTCTCGAGGAGGTGATATTTCTGTGTCCACACAGCACACAGAATCTTAACCATAGCACTCATCACACTGATTGGAAATTTCCATCTCTGTTTGTAGATCACTGGGGTCATCTGAAGAATCTGCAGTGCTCTGTGGTTGCTAACTTGATTCAGGAAGTCCCCAAAGGCCATCCAGGCTGAATGATTATTTCCAGTGGGAGGCAAAAACTCTTATACCTAGGGAAGTACAAGGGGAAAAAGCTCTGTTTCACTAAGACACACTAAATGTGGTTGGTCTTAATCTCTTCTTAACTGCCCCTCTTCATTTCTGCATCAGGGTAATAGAAGAGTATAATTTGCAATAGCTACTTCATAATGAATTAATGACTCACAATTGATGAAAATACTCACATGGAGAGAGCTGTAAGCCCGAGACACTCACCTGTCTGTTAAATGGCCATATAGGATGTTTCCTATCAACATACCAGTCATAAATAAAAATTTAGGTATTATGGTCAGTGACTGAGATCCACACACCAGGTCCCACTGGAAGAGAAGGAAACCAACACAGCAAAGCTTATAGCTTTACAGGGTAATTTGTTTTAAAAAAGGCTCAACATGACCTTCAACCTTTCCAGAATTATCTGATTTCTGTCATTCAGTTGTCAGTTTCAAAGTATCTTAGCCTTCCCTAATTCTGTAGGTTATGCTAAAGACTTGTAACCCATGCTAAGAGGTTCTCCTACTTGTCCATACAGTGAAACAATTTGAGGACCTTAAAGAATCTACTGGATCCTGAATGTCAGTGCATATCTTCTAATGTGATTCTTCTAGGCCTAGTGTGTAGTGTTAAGATCTCTGTGTGTTTTTAGCATGTGTGTCATTTGCCCATATGCATAACTTTCTCTTTTCACACATATATGGTGAACTTTTAGTTGCTAAAGTCTCACCAAGTGCTTTACTCAACTTCAGATGCAATTATTACATGTATTCATCACGTTACTTATCCTAGATGTCGTGGCCAGCCTTGGCACTGACCTTTATGTATTTATTTTTATTATTCTATATTTTAGCAATATTGTGGATTGAAATCAGGACTTTGTGCTCTGGAGGAAAGTGCTCCACCAACAAGCCACATTGCAGTCTGTAAAAGGAGGTAAACTTTTTAAACATTTTTTTCAGTGCTAAGGATTAAATCCAGGGCCTCACACATGGTACACAAATACTCTACCACTAAACCATGTTCCCAATCTGCCATTAAGGTTATGCAGTCTCTCAAATATTTTAAATTTGAAATCAAGGCCAAAGAACATGGACTTGGCATAATCTTTACAACAAAACACAAATATTTCTTACTTTAACTCACTTATCATAACATTAATATATTAATTATCTGTTTAAAATGTGGTCATTTTAAGAATAAAAGGACCATCAGCACAAACTCCTTCTTTCCAAGTCATTAGAGTCAATGAATATGTATCCCAAATTTAGTACAGAAGTAACCAATGTTGACAGAAGGAATGAAGACTAAGGTCAAGGCCAGTACACGTCTTGTGCCCCTTCTAAATATTCAAGTTATGAGGGGAAATGAAGCCACTTACCTGAGTCACAGTGGTGGAGAGGAAGGAGCTTTGGTCATACACCCAGCCATCCACACAGGGTTCTATGTCTGGCTCTGTCACATTGGAAAGGGTCCCATTCGGATGAAGTAGGTGCCACTGTGGCTGGACAAAGCGACAACACCTCTCTGGCCTCAGGTTTGAGTCCAGTGGGATGGAGATTCTCAGGAGGTCGTCTTGGCTCAGGATCCCACTGCTATTGTCAAAGACAGTGCCATTGTCAAGGATGGGGACCCAGCAGCGATGACCAGGGATGACTGCAGTAAAGGTCTCCAATAGAAGATGAGGGAACACTATGATATTGCAGATCAAAAGGAAAGTCATTTGAAGAATCTGGAATCTTCCCAAGCTGCCAACTTGATTCAGGAGTTCCTGGAATGCCATTTAGGCTGATGGACTATCTCCAGTGGGAGTCAAAAATGATTAGACCTGGATAAGTACAAAGGAAAATAAAAGACTTGTTCTAAATAGGGTTCATTCTGACCTGAACAGGTTCTTCCTTGCTTCTGTCACAGTCATGGAATTAATATCACCGGGTAACTGGGAAATTAGGTAGAGAAGGAACTATTTACTTTAAATGCTCTCTATAACTAAATCTATTAAAGTTTGACTTTGTAATTAGTCTTGTACCATAATAACCCTGTTCAACTATGGACCTTGATCTGAAAAGAGACTAAGGTTAACCTGTTACATAACATTCAGTCCTTTACAGAATATGGAACTTGTGAGACACCAAAATGAAGTGATTTTCATGTTCATATCCTCAACTACAAGTGTCTTGTTTGTTTAGTACTGAATTTGATTTTTAAAACCAATGAAAATGATTCAAAGTTAAATTAATGCAAGACAAGAATGGTGTGATTCCTCCACCTTTTCTGACTCTGTTTCAGCTTAAATCACTTTAGTAATTCTCACAGAAATTGTGTTAGTCGAAGTGGCTGTAGGTGAGTGGAGGATGGCAGTGGGTTTATCTAGTGCTAAACTCACATAGCAGTTGATAACTCAAGCAGTATTTGTGGGGATCGTCTCTGTTTAGCAGCAGAAATACAGTAAGTCTAAAGCAAATTTCAAGTATTTTATAGTTTGGTAAATAAAAGAGAGGTACATAAGATGTTATATTGTTCTGTTATGAATATTTTGCCTTTGCACATACATGTAGTGAGATGAGGATCACAATGCATTATAGAAGAAGAATTAGTGGCAAAATATACTGTTAATGAAGGCTAAAGCTTCTGTTAATAGTTATACCTAACTGAACGGTAAGACCTGGGTGACTCAGGAAAGTGGTTGACAGCTTCCTTAGCATGCGTAAGGCCTTGGGTTTGATTCCTCTGCCATTCATAGACTTGTCCAGCCATTACCATTATCACACTACAAAACATATTGATCAATATATTTTCATCACCCCACATATATTTTTTAAATTTAATCTTACTTTTATTTTATGTGTATGATTGTATTGCCTGCATGTAGATAGGTGCACCTATGTTGTGCAATGCTCACAGATATCAGAATAGGGTGTTGTATCTCCCTGACTGGAGTTACAGATAGTTGTTAGCCGCCATGTGGGTGCTGGGAATCAAACCCAGGTCCTCTGAAAGAATAGCCAGTGCTCTTAACCACTGATCCATCTCTCCAGCCCCACTCCATGTTTCTTATGCACTGCTGGTCTGTGGCAAACATCCATCAATATTCTATATCTGCAGATTTGCCTGTCGTGAGCATTTTATATAAATTTAGTAAGACTATACTTGGTCATTCCTATCTGACTTATTTCTCTTACTATTTTCAAGTTTCAGTCATGCTGTCACATGTGTTTCAATATTTTACGTCTGAATAATTTCCGTTGTATGGATATCATTCTGTATTAGCTACTGTGTGTATTCTGTATTCCTGCTGCTGTGACAAAATGCCTGAGAAAAACAACTTAAGGGAGAAAAGGTTTATTTTGACTCATGTGTAATCCATCACGATGGGAAAGTCATGGAAGAAGGAGTAAGAGGCAACCAGTCACACTACAGGCACAGACAGGAGACAGAAACAGACGGATGCTAGCACTCAGCTAGCTTTTTCCTTTTTATTCAGTCCAGGATCCCAACTGCCCACAATTAAGAGAGGTCTTCCCATTACATTAATGCAATCAAAATAATCACTCATAGACATGCCCAAAGGCTAATGTAGTCACAGACATCCCTAGAGGTTTGTGTCCTAGGTGATTACAGGTCTTGTCAAATTAAATATCAACAACTTAGAAAGGAGTCCGTTCCTGGCATTGGGTTTTTCTTTGTTAGCCTATGGTGTCTAGTAGTGGCACTGCCCCCTTTTGTAGAGTAACTCCTTTTAACTTCTTTTTATGTTGTGTATGCATATACTTTAAGAGGTTTCTATAGTGATAGGTTTTCATAAGACTTTCTAAAGGCTTTTAGTGTTAATTATCCCTCCCCACACTCCCTCCTCTACCCTACTCTCCCATTCCCCACCACTTAAAACCCTTTCTACTCCATTTCCCCTTTCCTCCTTTATATCACTGCACTCTATCTCCCTCTCCCAAAGCCCCCCCCCTGCCCCAGTCATGTATTAGTTTCCTGTTCCTTGTGTATCTTCCAATTGAAACATGCACATCTAAGGACTCCTTCTTTTGAGGCTGTTGACTAGGCATTCCATAGACCCTCAAACAATACTGGATACTGCCCCTGTTTGGTTACCCACCTGCACATTATGGTAAGACCCTACTGCTGAAGACACAACATACATGAGCTATAGAACAAACTAACAAGACTGACTTCAAAGCTTCATCTCTACCAGCCAGTCTTCACAGTGCTGGAAGGTGCTATACATGCTACCTGAAGAGAAGAGTAATCATCAGCCTTGCCCAGCTGTAAATCCTGTGAGCTACAAGAACTGGCCTGGCAAGATATGCCCACTAGTGCCATAGTGGCACACATTTTATGAGAGTAACATACCACTTTCTGATTGGATTTAAAGTCCACCTCACAAGATGGGAGTCCATACTTGACATTGATATCAAGCCTTGGAACCTGTGAGTGGACAGGTCACAGGCCATAGGGGAGAGGATAGGGCTACTATTCTGCTAAATACACATAGTACAGACTGGAGAGAAGGCTCAGTGGTTAAGAGCACTGACTTCTTACAGAAGACCTGGGTTTGATTCCCAGCATTCACATGACAGATGAAAACCATCTGTAACTCCAGTTTCAGGGGAATTTGATGCCCTCTTCTGATCTCCACAGGCATTGCATGATATGGGTACTGTGTCCCGAGGGGTACTTGTTCCTCCGAGGGCTGGGGCCTGCTGCAGAGAATTGGCTGCAGAGAATTAGCTATGGAGAGAGAGCTGCAGAGAGTTAGCCACGGAGGGAGGAGCGTTGGCATCATCTTGGCAGCAGCAGTGCCGAAAAATGGCCCCAGTGTCTCACCCACGTGGACGCGAGAGGGGGCATTTAGCAATCTGGGGCAAGACTGTGGGCCAACGAGGCATGGACAAAAGCTACCGAAGACTGTGGGCAGGGCATATAAGTGATCTGGAATGGTGGGCCACTGAGCCACAGAGTGGAACCAGGCTCCTCGTGTTCACCTTTTCTGGGGTGCAGAGCATTGGCCTTTGTAAGTTACTCTATTTCGCCTACCCAGGATATGAACTATGAAAAATTCAGATAAAGATGTGTTATATGGTCTGTCTAATAGCACCAGGAGCAAGGGACCCTAAGAAAATTCAGGTGACAAATTGGCGCAACCAGCAGGATGGCGCTGGAAATGGCAAACCACAGGAGTTTGGGAAAAGCAAAGGAGCTAATGGCAGCGCTGACATGGATCTTACAATGGATTATAAAATATGTAACAAAAAAGGGGCCAGCCACACAGAAGTATGTGCCACAGCTGTGTTATAAATGCGGGGAAATAGCCCAGTTGCAGGTATATAAAGATTTGTTAAAGACAATAGAAAGGCTAGAAAAACTTTTACAAGCCTTGGACACAAGCAGAGAACCCAGAGAGGGGGTGTGGCCACTGTGCATAATAAAAGATTTGCACAAGGCAGGGGAAGCTGAAAAGGCCCCCGGAGGTCCTGGCAGATCCAGTTGCAGAACTTGAGAGAGAAAAAAAACGGATGTTTTACTTTATGCAAGATCCAAGGACTCCAGAAAAAAGACAGATAATAATGAAAAAGTAAATGACCTAAAAATAAAAGTAGCTAAAGCTGCCCTTCAACCTTTGATAGAAAAAGAAAAAAAAAAAAAAAGCTAACAGTATTGTAGCTAGGAAATACTCCACACTGGAACTGTTAAAACTAGGAAAAACTTACAAGCAAGCAGTCAAAGAGCCCCTCACCACATGGCTCATGAGGGTATGGGACATGGGAGCAAATAACATCAGTCTAAGTCCTTCAGAAGCTTCACAGCTGAGTTATATAGCCACCCATCCATCCTTGCAATGTAGACTGTTCAACCTAGGCCAATGCAGGGGTGTGCAGTTCTTAATGGAATGGCTGGTGGAAGGCCTTAAAGATACATGGTCATCACCAAGGGAAACTTCCATAATTAACAGAGGTTGGAGGACTATAAAGGAGGGACAGGCATTCCTGAGAGAACTAGGTATGAGAAAAGAAATATGTGATGCCCAGTTCACTGGTCCAGATAAGACTGTGTTCACTAGAGATTTAAAGGAAAGCTTAATTCAACTGGGACCTCAAGAATGGTATAGAGCTTTAATGGTTTTGCTAAGCCCTTTAATGGGACAGGATCTTTGTAAAGTGAGAGAGGCTTTAGCAGATCTAAGTGACTCTGACCAATGTGTAAAATGTGTCTGTAGAATAACAGAACACCCTACACAAGACATAAAAAAGACCAAACAGAAGGAATGGTCCGTTTGGGTTACTTGAAGACAAATGTGGCAAGACTTATGTCAAGCCCGAATTCCCAAAGAAAAAATTGATATAAAGCCAAATTCGGTACTAAGGAGTTTCTGGAAGGCTTTAAAACCAGAACAACATTTTACAAAAGGCATTCAAAGGATAAAACCATCCCAGGGGTGGTTAAGAATCTCCAAAGATTAAATAAAGTACATTTTTTCCTGATAAAGGTTATACTAGGGGTGGAGGCAGTTTTTCCCACCAAGGCCTTCCCCAGCAGCCAGATATGGTCAATAGAGAGATGACAGATATGGCTACAGTCAGGAGGCAGACCCAGGGCCTGCCAGACTCAGGGAACCAACAGGTGCAGCAGGGACAAGAGAAACCCCCTGCCTCCTTAGCCTGGTGCAGGGTCAGACAACTGGAGCCAACACCTGTAAGTGTATCAAAGATAAAAGAATACAAAGAGACTCCACGCAAGATCCTCAGAATGCGAAATGACTCCCAGGGGATAACTAAAGATAGTAAAGAACTAATCAAATTAATGCCTCTTACCCATGCTATGGTACGTAAGAAAGATCTATGGAGAAAATAGTTAATACAAATGGAGAAAACCTTTCCACGCTGTGTTAGACCTTGCCTAT